ACAGTGTAGATCAGTGGTTTTCAATTGGTTTTGCTTCAGGATCCATTTTCACATCAAGGGGTGAACCAACACTGTACCAAGTTTGTTTATACAAAAGTAAGCAAAAATGTACTTGTAGTCAACATTTTTTTTACTATAAGTACATTTTAGCTAACTTTGTGAATTTACACAAAGGGTGATTTCCAATGACAGCGCTGCTCAGTGCATTTGTTGGCTGCGTCTTACAAGTTGTTGTTTAAAGTAAAATTAACGTACTTGTTTCCAACAGTGTTTCAGTCTCTTTCAATATAAAATTCTTTACTGCTGACTCTCTCATAAAAACAGTTTCTTGTCGTCATCTAATGGTGGAACAATGTAACTAAAATCACCATAACGAACACACACCATTTCTCAATACTAAACACTATTATTAAATAGTACAATTGTTTGTATAAATATTATTTATTGAATAATAATATTTTATAAACAACAACAGCCATCATAAAAGTTGCTGAGCAATTCGGTCAAAAGTACAAAGGCAGCGCGATATCAATGAGACCAAAGACTGTCCATTAAATTCACCCAAAACGAATCAGAGCTAGCGGCAAATTCCATCTGGCTGAGGTGAGGCTGCTCTCGGTGGGTTTATAAGTGCTGAATGGCCGCTGACGCCCTGGAGCTCACATCCCCGAAAACGTCAAACCAATTTTCAAATAGACGTTATCTTTATTAACAAACCGTATATTTGAAGTCTAAACAATTAATTGCCCCCTAAAAAACTCTTAAAACTACATTCCGAGACACAAAAGCATAAAATGATAGTGGATTTGGGCATCCGCCATGACACTCGCTGTGAGAAATCCTGCAAGCGGAGTAATACAATGATTATTACGATGATGATGTTATTACCTACGGCCGAATCACAGCTGTGCTAATATACAGCCATATCGCACTGCTACTTGTGTGATATTGCTCAACCTGTCCATATTACCATCTGCCTTATTGCTTTCGTTTCTATAAAGTTACAGATGAATTTGCACCACAATAGCATAGAGTGTGACTGGACGCATGACCTTTGAAATCAACAATAAATAATCTGTTAAGAGTCTCCTACTTTTTAAAAGCATTTTTTAAGACTATTTATTTTGCTACCAACGCATAATTACTGTATATTATGAATTGCAGAAACTTTTTGTAATTAGCATTTACTTTGGGTCGTGACGCACCCGTTGAGAAGCACTGATGTAGATAGTGATGCTGTTGGCTTTAAATGCTGGAATGGTGTAATTCTCCATAATCTGTAATTACAGTTTTATCTATAATATACAGTATGGCATCACTGACTATTATACCTATAAGCATGAGGTTTTAGTCTCGTATTATTCTTTGTGTTTTGCTAAAACATAAATGCAGTGATTAATAACGAGGACTTTTCCGTAATTACAGGTCTGCACTAAAATTACTGCATGATTTTGAGTTTCCATGATCCCTTTCAGGGCAAAACACAAATTGCTGTTACAAAGTAGACGCAAGACATGCATACAAATTTTGGGAATTTCCTTTCATCCTCTAGCTGTTTCAGAGGATGTGTATAATTTGCTCACGTGAAAAGATAATGATCATCTTGAGGTTATTTATTTATTTATTTATTTATCACATCCTGTGTATGAAAAATGAACATGATGGATATGGAAGTGGGCAGCACACAGCACATTAACTCAGGTTTACATGACAACTTGAAGTCATGGGGCAACAATTCTGTATCACACTGTGTTCAAATTATAGAGTAGCTGTAACTGAAAACACGCATAGTTACACACTGCACCGAATAGAAAATGAAATATGCTGTTTGATCATTGTAATCCCTTTGGCATCCAGCTCATGCTACATAATGTCACACACCCAAAACCGCTCAGAAAAGAAAATGTAAAACATTCAGCCTTACAAACAAATTAATCTCCCTTTGGCACAAACTCACAATTGGTTAAGAGTCTGAAAACTGTAAGCAGACACAACAACCAATGCGGAAAATTAGTCATTCATTGAATCATTGAATCAAGTCTTGCTTTATTGGAATGTCCTTTGTGTGTACAGTCTTTTTTGGTGAGTATAAATATATATATATATATATATATATACTGTATATTAAACCTCTATTGATTTATGAAAATGCAAATAATTTGCAGCAAAATAAGACT